AAGTCCTTACAGGGAATCAGACTTACTCTGCTCACCTCTCTAGCCTCAACAGCACAAAGTCTGCTTCGACTATCAACGCACCCCGGAAATAGCAGGTCACAAGAGTGTGACAAACATACAAAAGAAGTAGAGGAAAAAGGACGATAGTATGGATTAAGAAAGAAAAAGCAGCAGTTCCGCACTGCAGTTCAAGCAGTCATGAGCAAGACATTGATGAATCAGCCCATTTACAATTACAATTCTACTGTGCATAAGGTTTCAAACCCGGGTCTTATTGAACGAGAGGCGAGCACTGTAACCTCTAGACCCCGAGAACCCACAAACTGACATTTCAAAAGGTGTGCAAACTAGGGTCATTTGGTGCACTATATATCTACATCATTAACCCAAAATATCAATTTCACTTGTGTTGTACGAAGAATACATTTCTTTCTTCTTTCAAGAAGAGACGAAGGAGAGCATAAAAACGCCAAAATCGTTGAGCTAAATTGACGCTGATATCAATATTCAAAGCTTCCGTTAACTGACCTAATAACTTCCTGCCTTTCGAGGCTCGATCCATGTTGGAGGTAGGTAAATATGTACCCCTGAGCAAATCCTGAACGGCCCCTGTGTAATTATGCCGACGCCAAAACTTGAGACAAAAAAATGACAGGTGTTTTAGAAGAAAGGCGGACCTGGTAATGGAACCACTTGATCTATTTAGGCAGATTGTTCCGAGAGGTAAGCGAAACAGGGCGGGTCCGTGTCTTATAAATGACCAATAAACTGTTCTCTCGGCGTTATCGTCAGTGCATGGTGTGTTTCTGTGTTGGGACAACCAGCTCTCGGAAATGACTGTCTGTACGTGAGTGTGATGAAGGTAAAGTTTACGAAATGTTTATTGGTGAATGTAAATCTTAACGTCTTTACTATCGCACCCACCACTTTCCAAAGAGGAAATTTACTCGTTAATCCGATCCGTACGCTTTACATAGCAGCAGTCTGTCAAAGTGATTTTGTGAGAAATACTGAAAGTTTCAAAGAGGTCTTCGTACACGAAGTATTCTAAAATGTGAAGAATACAACCCCGGGGGTACAAAATGACCCCAGGGCGTACGGATAGGGTAAAGCTTAATAATGAATGTAAAGCTTTTTAATGAACGTAAAGTTTATTAATGGGTGTAAATTTTATTAATGTATTCCGCCCCCTGATGGCGATCGAGTCTTCTGTGATTTGTTTGTGAGTGTAAGTATGGAGACGTTTCATTAAAGTAGACAGGCAAAAATGGCAAAATTAAAGAGAGAGAGCGAGAGAGAGAGGGGGGAGACAAAGTGATGAGGATGGGTATGAGCGGGGTGGATAATAGAAAAGGGAAGATGAGAGAAAGATAGAAATGGAGAGAGAGAGAGAGAGAGAGAGAGAGAGAGAGAGAGAGAGAGAGAGAAGGGAGGGGGGGGGATTTCCGAAAATGTAAAAAATGTACATGACTGTTACAAACAGTCACATAAGATTTTTTTAAAAGATTCTTTGGTCTGAAAGCAAAGACGTTCATCCATACGATAACGTACTGAATCTCGAGGAAAAAGCGCGACAGGAAGACTACCAATAAAAAAAGGATGAAAACCTTCAACCGGATTATTGGCAAGACTGATGTTTTAGTTTTGGTAAGTGTTTTACGGCGCTTGCAACACAATAACGTCATATAAGTGCCGACA